GACTTAAAAATTATATTTTAATGTGATAGTGATTATAAGTGATTTGTGACTATAATGAGGTTTTTTTTACTATATTTAAGTCCGTAACACAAATTGGGTGCTTAAATAGAGGTGTGACTATATGGGGTGTGATTATAGGGAGGTCCGACTGTACGCTATATCTAATTATTAGTTGGCGGCGAAGCCGCCACATGATCATGTACTAGTCTGTAAGATAAAAAAGTGTGAAGTTTGAAATGAGACCGAGTGAAGCGAGGCCGATAGTCATGTAAAGTTATTATCTAATTATAAGTCAGCTGAAATGGGCGGCGAAGGCGCCCGCATATGCAATTTCTAGTTGAATTTATAAATCTACACTATTGTAATTATTTCCTACTAACGATTAAGCTATGAAGTCACTCGTTGTAAAAGCATGAACCTATGAACCTATCACTATTAAAATCATGAATCCACAAATTATTGAAATTACAAATGCACTCTACTGGCTGCTTGAATCATAAACGCCCCTCATATTTAAATTAAAGCCTATTTACTGTTATAGTCACAAATCAACCATTGTTTAAGTACAAATCTACCACTAAATTGTAAATGAACTCAACTACTATTAAAATTACAGGCAAATTTTCCCATTGTTGAATTTACTAATCTGATACTATTAAAATTACGGACATATCCATTGTTGAAATCACGAACCCATATAGTCATTATTAAAATCAGGACCCTCTCTACCTATTGCCAATTTATCACCTAAATAAGCCAACTTCTCTTACATTATTATAAACGACTAGCCGATTTTTTATTCAATTTCTAGTCTGAAAATATGCTTAGAAGAGAAATGATTCTAACACTTCTCTTATCAACCGCCCGGCCCACAAAGGTGCAGGCTGAGGGTCGACCCACCCATCGATCCGGCCGTTGGTCCGGGGTTGGCCCGTATCACTAATCTTAGTGGCAGTAGGATTCTTGGTTCTCAGACTAAATTTTCTATGCCTTCTTTCGAGTAGGCTTAATTTTGTTGTGTTTTAGGTTGTGAGACCCGGTGACCCCAAACCTGCCCTTCACACATACATACATAAATAGTTTTTTAAAAATCGATACACATTGTTTGTTACACCAGATACTATGGTTCGCGCTGTATGGTATAATTGAAAGAACATGATGATTAGTCTAAGATGCGATTCGTCTATCAGTTGCACATTTATATTTAACGATTATCCGATTTGTTTGTTTATAATTTTATTACAAATTTAAAAAGCTAGCAGAATTTAGCAAATTAGCGTATATCCGAATCCTATATCTAAACTAGCCATTCTGGTCTGTAATATGCAATTAATCATAACATTAACGATAAAACTTAATCGATTCTATAGTAGAACGGTAGGCATAATACTGGAACCAGTTCTTTAGAGGCTGATGAAAATCGAAAATTAGATTTTCGGGTTTTCCGTGGTAGCACAATATTTTGAGCGATTTTGTGTGCCAATCGGAAAAAAAAAATACACTACGACATTTATTACTTACTATTTTTAGCAATTAGATATACATATGACCAATAGAACAAAAAAAGGCAAAATTAAATTATTTGTTTTAATCAGGAAAAATAAAATTCCGAACGATAACTTAGTTCCACCTCAATTATATATACGCCTACGTATTTTTTCCCATTAAATATAATGGAGTACGTTGAAATTTTTTGTCTATTGTTTTTTATTTCATTTATATTTTATTTGATTAAACGACCTCGAATAAGCGAAGTAAATATAATTTCATATTATTTAAAAATTATTTATTTTTTTGATTTATTCTTTGTAATAAGATTTCATCTTGATAGAATGAACCACCATTAGTACCATATCGAATTCCGATTATTGGGCATACATATAGCTTTCTATTTGACGCTGATAACTTTCTACGAGAGTGTAGAGAAAAGGTAAATTACAATTATTTATTGTGATAATTTATTCTATTTTTGATTCTGTGTTTGATGTTTGATATTGTCGATTTTTTTTTTCATAAAGTATGGTGATCCATTTAGCTTATTCGTCTTTGGGAGTGTAATAACTTTTACAGGATCCGAAACCTCTCATGAAGTCCTAAATAATGCAAACACTTTTGATTTTCACGCGGCAATAAACAAGGTACATATGGTGTAAACTGTTTGTACACAGTGTATATAGTTTGAAGCAAAATATCTATTAGTATCTATTAGACGTATTATTTAATGTATTTGCCTTGACTTTTATTAAAGAAGATATTGTAGCCTGAGCTGTTATTACAGTCGTTGAGGTTTGAACTGAGTGACTGCTTAATGACGGTCCTTCAATCTACTAAAGTAATGGGTGGAATCTCCATTACGATATATGAGTGACATTTGTAAATCATGCTTTCTGAATATTTGCTTTTAATAAAAATATCTTGAAAAACAAATTAATTGAATATCTAAGATATTAATATTATTCGAATCGTATATTAAATAATAATTGCTTAATTTCATGATTTTAAAATATTTTTATTAAAAGTAAATATTCAAAGAGTATCACACTCATATACATAATTAAAATAATTCGCTTTTCAATTAAAAGTTTCTAGTATAAACAAATAATAAATTCATATATTGTTTTTATCATCAGTTATTTCCAATAAATGAAGTTTTATCAAGGTTCAGAAAATTTGACTCAGACGAATATCTTTCTCGAGTGGTTTATGAACAAATAAGCGGTAAAATTAACTTATATGCACCAAGAATACAAAAAGAACTTTCATTTGGAATTGAAAAATATTTTGGCAATTGTGAAGGTATATTTTCATTATATCATTGTTATATATTATTATTATGTTGAATTCATTATCTAAAATGAATGAATAATTCATAGAACCCAAAGTGTTCAAAAATATTAGTAGTAAATTATCACTAATAATCGCCAAACCTGTTGCTAATATTTTACTTGGTGAAGTAAGTTCTAATAAAACATTCTTATAATGTTTTGTTTTATAATATGACTTTAATTGATATTTAATCATAAAGGAAGCTGCTCAACTTGAAGACATTATAAAATCATTTTCCTTAGCTGAAAAGGATTTACTGAAACTTGCTCTTATTCCTCCGGTTTTATCATTCATTCATCATTCACTTCATAGAATGCTCGTCATGTACGTATGCGCCATTATAAATAATAACTTTAATCATTGCTTTCCTTTATAAGCTATTATATAAAAATATAATTTTTTTTAAATAGATTACCGTTGAAATTCGGATGGAATCCGCTTAGTCGACACAGAGATCTTTTCGTCAAACGTTTTAAATCAGTTATTGAAGAACGCGTCTATCAAAGAAAAGAACTTGGTGAAAAATATATTCTTAAAGTATATTATCTTTTTCTAAATTATAGACTACTTGTCATCTGTCTAGTAAATGGATTTCAATTAATGGCTTTTAATTAATAGGATGATTTACTTGACTTCTATTTAAGTGAACCAGATTTTCAAACGGATGTCGTGGATGATCGATATATGGAAGAATTATTTGTTTATACTAGAAACTTTTAATTGAAAAGCGAA